TACTAAGTAGTATACTTTAGGGGAAACACAAAGACATGACGGTACTAAGTAGTATACTTTAGGGGAAACACAAAAACATGACGATACTTAGTAGTATACTTTAGGGGAAACACAAAGACATGACGGTACTAAGTAGTATACTTTAGGGGAAACACAAAGACATGACGGTACTAAGTAGTATACTTTAGGGGAAACACAAAGACATGACGGTACTAAGTAGTATACTTTAGGGGAACACAAAGACATGACGGTACTCAGTAGTATACTTTAGGGGAAACACAAAAACATGACGGTACTTAGTAGTATACTTTAGGGGAAACACAAACACATAAAAGTACTAAGTAGTATAATTTAGCGAAAACACAATGAATTACGACAGATGTAATAATAATATTTAGCCTTTAGATCAACAAACACAATACAATACACTTTGTGAGTATGCAATACATTGTGGGTTTTTTTTAAAATATAAAACTTTACACAGAGAAGACAAGTGTTAACCATCGTTCTGTCCGGACCTGATGGTCTACATCATCCAATCTATTACCCGAAAATACCGCGACTAGTACATCCAATCATCGCCACTTCCTGGTTAAAAGCGGTCTCGATGTTTCAAGCTTCAACAGCCTGGTGCCCTCGGAACAATAGAAATGGCAAAAAGTCTATATATGATTACGAGAATAAAGACTATACATGGCGTGGGACAAGAACGAATAAGGGCGACACATGAAAGGATACGTGGCATGAATGGACTCATTTTGTTAAACATGTTTCAATGTTATGTAATACCTAAATTTTTCACTTTAGTGAAACAAAGGTAAATGTTGATTTTTTTAAATATTTTGGCACATGATTATTCAAATGCGACGAAAATATTCTGGTGTACACATACAAGGCACTGAATGGAACAGCTCCCCAGTACCTACAGGAGCCTTTTTTTCTTCACAATTTCATTCCAGTATATTTCGTTTTAAAATTTTGTTCCCGGTTAAATCCCTCAAATTCCCCTCTTTTCCTGAATATACATTCGCAGTTCAATTAAACATTGTTCCAATCTGAGACTTCTAAATTTAGTATCTGATATCATCTTAGTATCTTCTTGGTGCATGATACCAGGTACCACATTCTGTGTTGGAGTTCACAATTGTGTGATTAACGATCTGATGATGCTTGTACCATCACCAGTAACGATATATAAAAAGAGTTTCTACACTTTACAGCTCACCACAAAATTCACAATTACTAATGTATAGTGGAACGAGAGAATTCAGAATCCATGATTCCATAGAACCGATGAACACCTGTATTGTCTATTGTCTGTAACATAGAGAGGACGAACACCTGTATTGTCTATTGTCTGTAACATAAAGAGGACGCGCACCTGTATCTACTGTCTGTTACATAGGGAGGGCGATAATAATATGACCTATAACCCGGTATCGGGCAGTAGATCCGGAAGCATATATCTACCGATTTTAAAAAAATTGGGAGGACGAACAACGTGGTGTTTCCGGAACGACTAGATGGGAGTAAAACATTATTTGAGAATATCTACGAGATATATTTATTCAGTAATTGCAGAAAAGTTAGTACGTAACACAATCACTGTGGGCACCAAATAGACTGCAAACTATTACACTGAGATTTTTCGTTTGAAAAAAACCCGCGTGTTTCTAGAGAGACATGTCTTTTCATTAAAAAACAATGGATGATATATAGCATACAATATCATGATGTGTTCACAAGTCCGTCTTTATTTTATCCTTTTATAAACGGCTTTGGATTAAGGTTAATTATATAATTTTCAACTGGTTTTCACATGAGCACTTCTAATAAAAGTAACCCCTCGTATTACTAAGATGCATCGAAAAATGGGCTGTTTTGCCTTCTGCTAGTTATCTTCGTGCATCATCAACAAACATCTTAACTACTGTCAATAGGGACTTGTAGACTTACCGGCATATAGTTGTATGAATCTGTATCAAAATGTAGCTGAGGATATTTCTTCAGTCTTACTTATTTTCCTATTCTCCATCTTGTCTATACACCTGTTCATCAGAACACTTATATTTGAGATTATTGGAAATATACAACAGAAGAAAATAAGAGCGAGAGAATTTATGAAGGGTATGTGAGAGATAATACATATTTGGCAAGTTGACACTATAACATGCGAAATATAAACGTTGCTGTTTTTTGCTATTTAGGAGGGCAATATTAATGATGATGGTGTGTTGTAATGCAATATCTGTGTGATGATGATGGCGATGATTGGTGAATGGGATTTCGGTGTCATTATGATGAGCATTGTGATAATGATTGGGATGGCGATGATGATGATGATGATGATGATGAACCATTTTAGGATACTGAACTCGCGTACTATGCCGTCTACTTTTAACGATGACCTGGCCAACTCACCTGATTTAACAGTGCTTCCAACAGTGATGAGGATGAGGAGGAGGATGGAGATGGCGATGATGATGTTATGATGGTAAACTGTTTTGTTTGTATGTATGCATATTGCACCAGAAAAGTTTTTGTCTCAATAAATCCTAGCCAAAACTGCGAGTGTTTTATTTTTCTCGTTGTGACAATACCGAGTTTGATGTTTAAATGCAATCCTAGATATATGTGGGCATTGCTAACTCGTTCTTCCCACGTGAAACGAAAAAGAAATAGTTCCGATGTGAATTAATCTTGATAATTCTTATCTTATTTTTTAGAATAATGACACATGAATTTTCAATGAAACAAACTATTTCAAAGAACGCATCTGATTATATAATATTAATTTCTAGACTATACATTCATATTTGCGAAATCAAATTAAAAAAAAATGTTTGGAATTTCATATACGCATTTCGTTTGGTTTGTTACGTTTCATCCGTATTATTATTTAAGGATTATTATTTAAACACAAAAAACGGAAGCGGTTTATGATGAGAGTACATTCCGTTTTTTTGTGTTATAGCTCGATAACATGAAAAATATATTCAAGTTAATCCTTATAATTTAATTTATTATACACAATCCCTGTGGAAATCCACTTTTATTGATGGACTCTTTTCTCTCAAAAAATATTGCGCTGCTGTATCAGCCAAACAAAAGCGACGTTACAAACGGCGACGTAATTTATTTTACGTTTTGGGCTGATAATATAAATTTTTAAGCCAATGAAAATGCTTGTTACAAGCAAGATTAAATTATTACTAAATAAGTATATTTGCACATTTTTCCAAATTAATCAAAACTTTAACAAAATTTTTATTCTTCCAAAATGTGGTTTTCTTACTGTGTTAGTTTTATAGTGTAATAAAATGACCCATGTCGTTAAGGATGATTATTTGAAAAACATAAAAAGGAACACATTTAAAAGTGGTTTTTTTTTAATTATTTGCAAATGAACAACAAATCCTTGATAATCGTCTCGGTAAAGTCAGGATCAACAGGTATTCCTTCACACATATATATCAATATCAATATGAATGAAATGAACAATTGGTACAAACATCATCAGTGAAATATACACCGCGTTCTCTACACTCTTCACTCTCAGCCTGATAGAGTTACCCGAAATGTCTGTTACACAAAAAAAGGAATCTGTAATACCGTTAATATATGTTGCATACATAAGTGTCATATTATTTCTACAGACGTTTTGAACATTTTATTTCGTATCGACATATATTGGGTTTGTGTGACTTTCACTAACATTTAGTTTGCCCCCTATGGTTTTCGCTGAATGCACCAGTGCGGGACTTTGTACAAATGCCTGGACATCGCTTTCCTGGTTGAGGTCAGACTCGTCAAAACCAGGGTTGTCAAGGCCGATTGAGGATGTACCGCTGTCACTTATGTTGTCCTGCGAGCTACATGTACATTTTTTACTTCGGGCTTTATTGAACATCTCCTCCACTATTGACTTCGGAGTCAGACCTATGCGGAAGAACCCGATCTTCCCCTCTTCCACTTTCCGGCAGTCGACAACAGTGGAAGCAGCATTTTCGGGCGATGGCCCGTCCGCAAGAATCCCGTCACACTAGAAGGTAAAAAAAAAAAAATGATTAAAATCCACTGATTCTCGAAATCGCTTCCATCGTGTACTGTTCAATGTATTAGGTGGGTTATTTCTATAACTTAAAGTAATAAGGTAATTCACGAATATGTACATGTTCAATGAAGGTACATAATAGACGACTCGATGACAAGGTATATTTAATGACCTACATGTTTTACCCCCAGTCTGGCTAGGACATGCAGATGATGGGTAGTATCCGCTTCTCCAGTGGGATTTGCTGACGTCACGGCTATTGGACCCGTCTGATCAATGAGGTGACACACGATAGTATTATCCGGAATTCGTATTGCTATACTGTCCGGTTTGCCTATTAGTCTCTCCGAATCTCCTAGTCCCAATAACTTGACCCACTCACCTGATATGAACAAAATAAAGATGTGTATGATTACAACAAGATGTCTATAACAACTGTAAAAGAGCGCCAAACATATTTATTACAGACAACGTAAATACTAATAGAAAAATCTAGGCCGCTTTCGTTCATCTCGATCCAAACGGTTGGACCAGAGATGTTCGTTTATGAAATATGGTCGGACCTAGTGATATGATACTGCGTTCAGGTGAGCTTCACAAAGCCTTGTACATTTGCATGTCCGCCTGGCTTTATACTCGAAAATGTTACATTTAAAATCAGACAAACCGGCCGTTGTTCCGCATAAAAAACAAGCCCCTGGTCTTTTACAAGAATACAGACATAATTAGAATTGATATACGTTTCAATAAAACTTGCTTGCATACCTTACTGATACCTTAGCACAAAATAGAGAGAAGGTCCGGTAAGAAAGAACAATTACTTACCTTTCTTGAGTACCAAACTGATATTTGAGGGCCACACTTCCTGCATGAAGTTCCAGCAGACATCCCCCAGCTCGGCGCGCGCCTTCTCTATCTGTTTTATGTTAGAGATCCACACCGACATAGGGCGATCCTCGGCGTCTTTCTTGGAGTTGTAAGCTCTCTATAACATAGCATGTATAACCGTTACAACAATATTTTAATAATTTTACAGTCTTTGCAGTCACACAATAAATACTGTAAGCTCCTGACAATAAAAACATTACCCTCATGTAATAAATATTGTGAGCTCTTCATAACAAAACATTTCCCTTATGTAAAAGGGGTTGTAAGCTCTTTATAACAAAACATTACCCTTATGTAAAAGGGGTTGTAAGCTTTTCATAACAAAACATTACCCTTATGTAAGTTCCACTGTAGCTTTTCATAACAAAACATTACCCTTATGTAAAAGATATTGTAAGCTCTTTATAACATAACATTACCCATACGTAAGGACCACTGTAAGCTCTTTATAACATAACATTACCCTTATGTAAGTTCCACTGTAATATCTTTATAACATAACATTACCCTTACGTAAGGACCACTGTAAGATCTTTATAATATAACATTACCCTTATGTAAGTTCCACTGTAAGATCTTTATAACATAACATTACCCTTACGTAAGGACCACTATAAGATCTTTATCACATAACATTACCCTTATGTAAGTTGCACTGTAAGATCTTTATAACATAACAATACCCTAACGTAAGGACCACTGTAAGCTCTGTACAACATAACATTACTCTTACGTAAGGATCACTGTAAGATCTATATAACATAACATTACCCTTACGTAAGGACCGCTGTAAGCTCTTTATAACAAAACATTACCCTTCCGTAAGGACCACTGTAAGATCTTTATAACATAACATTACCATTACGTAAGGACCACTGTAAGCTCTTTATAACAAAACATTACCCTTACGTAAGATCCACTATAAGCTCTTTATAACATAACATTTCCTTTACGTAAGGACCACTGTAAGCTCTGTACAACATAACATTACTCTTACGTAAGGATCACTGTAAGATCTATATAACATAACATTACCCTTACGTAAGGACCACTGTAAGCTCTTTATAACATAACATTACCCTTACGTAAGGACCACCGTAAGATCTTTATAACATAAAATTACCCTTACGTAAGGACCACTATAAGCTCTTTATAACATAACATTACCCTTACGTAAGGACCATTGTAAGCTCTTTATAACATAACATTACCCTTACGTAAGGACCACTATAAGATCTTTATCACATAACATTACCCTTACGTAAGGACCACTGTTAGCTCTTTATAACATAACAGTACCCTTACGTAAGGACCACTGTAATCTCTTTATAACATAACATTACCCTTACGTAAGGACCACTGTAAGCTCTTTATAACATAAAATTACCCTTACGTAAGGACCACTATAAGCTTTTTATAACATAACATTACCCTTACGTAAGGACCACTATAAGCTCTTTATAACATAACATTACCCTTACGTAAGGACCACTGTAAGCTCTTTATAACATAACATTACCCTTACGTAAGTTCCACTGTAAGCTCTTTATAACATATAGCATGTATCGCCCTCGCTACGTTAAATCGTAAGCTAAATATATAACATAATATATATCATAAGCTGTATAATAGACAGATGGTACACAAAAGTCCCTGTTTGGGATATTCTTTAAATTCAATTAAAACTGCTGCTTTTTATAGACAAACAGTTTTAAGGGAAGACTTCACTTTTTATTTCTTACATTTACGTTTGTTTCTAAAATATTCATTATCCCTTTTCTTGTTGACAATATTTCGTACCTTGAGTGTTACTTCAAATTTCAAACTAACAACGAAAAGGTTTTTAAACAGAATTTCAGTTTCACCCTACTTCCGATTGTATGGTCTGTTGTCCCTTAGGGTATGGTCAATCAACATCTAATAAAAAAATACCATCAATAATAGATGTGATGAGAAAGATATTTGATGATGTCATTGAATTTGTCCCCTAGCAAATGGTGAAGATTGAGCCACGCCTATATCGTAAGATATATACCTACTTTACAGATTTATAACTACCCTTGATCACCGATGTACACTTTTTAGTATTGAGGATCGCTGACATAATACCAATGTCCAACAGTCACCCTTATAATAAAAAGGACGAACATTCTCGAACCTTGGAAATTCCCTACGGGTTCCGTTATGAACAAGATGAAATAGCATAACCACATATGATATTGATTAAACTAGACTCGACTTAAGAAGCAGCATAAGCATTTTTTAAATTTAAAATCCAAATACTTTTCACAGGACACTTGAACATGTTTGTTCCGAACGCAATCGTTCAAATATGGTATGTGTTCTAAACGACCGGCAGCCAGTAAGATTGTAGGAAAAAACATGTACACTCTATAGTGATATAATGCATCGATGTTGTCCGCGGTGTTAAGTTCTTTTGTTTTATATAAACATCACAAGTAACGTCAATATGTGTTACGCCTACTGCTCGAGATGGTTTTACTGTAACTTGATGTCGGGCTCAACAGTCTGTGATGCAATTAAATTTTTACATATTTTCCGACAGAAATTTAGTTTGGTCTTGGTTTCAATACTTGTTTCACAAATATTGAAAAAAAAAAAAAAAAAAAAAAAATTTAAAAACGCANATTTAAGAACGCAGCTTGAATCTGCCAAACTAAAACTGATTTATCATGATGTTTGTCTTGTGAAATCATTTGTAAGGCAAATACGTGTACAATAATCACTTTAGATTTAATTTTAACAACCACATAATGAAGAATAAAATACACGTTGAAGCATTGACAATTATTTTCGTTAGCTCCACTTCATGTGACAGTGAACATTGCACTCGAGTTCTGCACGGCCTGCGACTAGATATATTAATATCTTACTCTAAATCAACTGCCTATGGATATCTACGTTGAACTTTGATCTCAATTCCTGTGACCTGACCCAACTATATGTGACTGATTACATTGAACTTTGACCGTACTTTCCCTGCTTGTGACTGATTACATTGAACTTTGACCTTACCTCCACTTTCTATGGTCGTTACATTGCATTTTGGCCTTATTCTTTGTAACCTGTGACTAATAACATTGAACTTAGACATTACTTCCAGTGCTTAAGAATAATGACATTTAATTTTGACCTTAACTCTACTACCCTTGACTGATTACATTGAGCTTTGACCTTAACTCCACTACATGTGACTGGTTACATTGAACTTTGACCTTATCTCCACTACCTGTGACTGTTTACATTGAACTTTGACCTTATCCCCACTACCTGTGACTGTTTACATTTACCTTTGACCTGACCTCCCCTATCTGTGGTTGCTAACATTGAGCCTTGACCTTACTTCCGCTATCTGTTGTTGGTTACATTAAACCTTGACCTTACCTCTACTACCTGTGACTTGTTACATCCAGCCTTGACCTTACCTCCACTACATGTGAATGTAACATTTGATTTTGACCTTATATCCACTACCTGTGACTGCTTACATCGAACTTCGACCTTACCTCCAGGATCTGTGGTTGGTTTCATTGAGCATTGACATTACTTACACTTTTTATGGTTGGTTACATTGATCCTTTACCTTACCTATACTTCCTGTGGTTGGTTACATTGAACTTTGACCGTAACTAAACTGCATGTGACTGGTTACATTGACCTTGGACCTTACCTCCTCTACATGTGACTGGTTAAGCTGACACTTCACCTTACCTCCGCTACCTGTAGTTAGTTACATTGAGCCTTGACCTTACCTCTACTACCTGTGACTGGTTATATTGAACTTCGATCTTACCTCCACTGCCTGTGACCGGTAACATTGAACTTTGACCTTACCTCCACTACTTAAAACTGCTTACACTGAACCTTGACCTTACCTCCAGGATCTGTGGTTGGTTACATTGATCCTTTCCTTTACCTCTACTACCTGTTACTGATTACATTGAATTTGGCATTATCTCCACTACCTGTGACTGGTTACATTAAACTTTGACCTTATATCCACTACCTGTGACTTTTTACGTTGAACTTTGACCTTACCCCCAGGACCTGTGGTTGGTTACATTGATCCTTTACTTTACCTCCACTGCCTGCGGATGGTAATACTAACTTTGACATTATTTCTACTGCCTGTGACTGATTACATTGAACTTTGACCTTACATCAGTGCCTGTGACTGGTTACATTGAACTTTGCCTTTATCTCCACTACCTGTGACTGGTTACACTGAGCCTTGACATTACGTCCAGTATATGTGGTTGGTTACATTGAACTTCGACCTTACATCAGTGCCTGTGACTGATTACATTGAACTTTGACCTTACATCAGTGCCTGTGATTGGTTACATTGAACTTTGCCTTTATCTCCACTACATGTGACTGCTTACACTGAGCCTTGACATTACGTCCAGTATATGTGGTTGGTTACATTGAACTTTAATCTTATGTCCACTACCAGTGACTGGTTACATTGAACTTTGACCTTACTTTTACTACCTGTGGTTGGTAACATTGAACCTTGACCTTACCTCAACTCTATGTGACTGGTTACGCGGAGCCTTGACCTAACCTCCACTACCTGTGACAGGTAACATTGACTTTTGACCTTACCTCTACTACCTGTTAATGGCTAGACGGAACTTTGACCTTACATTTACTGCCTGTGGCTGGTTACCCTGAACTTTGACCTCACCTCTACTGCCTGTCTGGCTACACTGAACGTATACCTCAACTGCAATGCCTGTAGATGGTTACACTGAATTTTGACCTTACCTCCACTGCTTGTTGCTCGTTACACTAAATTTTAACCTGGACTTTACTGCGTTTGGCTGGTTACACTGAAATTTGACCTTCTCTGCATTGCCTGTTGCTGTTTTCAGTGAATTTTGACTTAACCACCACTGCCTGGGCTGATTACAATGACCTTTGATTTTATCTCCACTGCCTGTTGCTGGTTACACTGACCTTGACATCACCTCTACTGCCTGAGGCTTGTTACATTGAACTTTGACCTTGTCTTCACTATCTGTGGTTGGTTACATTAATCCTTGACCTTACCTCCAATATCTGTGGTTGGTTTCAATGAGCCTTGACCTTACTTCCACTACCTGTGACTAGATACATTGAACATTGACCTTACCTCTACTATCTATTGCTGGTTATACTGAACTTTGATTTGACCTTTACTGCCTGTGACTGGTTACGTTGAACTCTGAGTTTACCTTTGCTACCTTTGATTGGTTACATTGAATATTGACCTTACCTCCACTGCCTATGACTGGATATAATGAATTTTCACCTAATCTCCAATGCCTGTGGCTTCTTACAATGATCTTTGACCTCATCTCCACTGCCTGTCGCTCGTTATACTGAACTTGATCTCACCTCTACTCCCTGTAGCTGGTTACACTGACCTTGACATCACATCCACTGCCTGAGGCGTGTTACACTGAACTTTGACCTTATCTTCACTATCTGTGGTTGGTTACATTGAGCCTTGACCATATCTTTACTATCTGTGACTGGTTACATCAATCCTTGACCTTACCTCCAATATCTGTGGTTGGTGACATTGAGCCCTGACCATACCTCCACAACCTGTGACTGGTTACATTGAACCTTGACCTTACTTCCAATATCTTTGTATGGTTAAAATGAGCCTTGACCTTACCTTCATTACCTGTGACTAGATACATTGAACCTTGACCTTACCTTTACTACCTGTGACTAGATACATTGAACCTTAACCTTACCTTCACTACCTGTGACTAGATACATTGAATTTTGACCTTACCACCACTGCCTGTGGCTGATTACAATGACCTTTGATCTTATCTCCACTGCTTGTTGCTGGTTACACTGACCTTGACATCACCCCACTGCCTGAGGCTTGTTACACTGAACTTTGACCTTATCTTCACTATCTGTGGTCGGTTACATCAATCCTTGACCTTACCTCCAATATCTGTGGTTGGTGACATTGAGCCTTGACCATACCTCCACTACCTGTGACTGGTTACATTGAATCTTGACCTTACTTCCGATATCTTTGTTTGGTTAAAATGAGCCTTGACCTTACCTTCACTACCTGTGACTAGATACATTGAACCTTGACCTTACCTCCACTACCTGTGACTAGTTACATTGAGCCTTGACCATACCTCCACAACCTGTGACTAGTTATATTGAACCTTGACCTTACTTCCACTATCTTTGGTTGGCTAAATTGAGCCTTGACCTTACCTCCACTACCTGTGACTAGATTCATTGAACCTTGACCTTGTTGGTTACACTGAACTTTGACCTTACATCTACTGCCTGTGGCTGGTTACACTGAACTTTGACCTTACCTCTACTGCCTGTGGCTGGTTACACTGAACTTTGACCTTATCTCCAATGCCTGTGACTGGTTACACTGAACTTTGACCTTACATCTACTGCCTGTGGCTGGTTACACTGAACTTTGACCTCACCTCTATTGCCTGTGGCTGGTTACACTGAACTTTTACCTCACCTCTCCTGCCTGTGGTTGGTTACACTGAACTTTGACCTCATATCTACTGCCTGTGGCCGATAACACTGAACTCTGACCTCACCTCTACTGCCTGTGGCTGGTTACACGCCGCTACAAACACGTACACGGTGTCAGAAGGTATCCCGCATGTACCACCGTCTTTCAGGATTTCTATGAATAAGAAATTCGATATCATATTAGTTTTAGTATAATTTAATATAAAATTATAGACCTTAAAGGAAATTGTGATGAGATGTTCATAAATCGTTTAGAGAGAATGCTTTGCCTCAATATTACTTCTGTGTCGGTTAACGTACCAGCTGCTTGTTTTACCCCGGTCGCCCGTCTAGGATCCATAAACACCGCCTGGGAGCGATCCGAGTACAGCTTGCTGACTTGGAGGATGGGTTTGCCTTCCGGAAGAATATCCCTCCCCCATACGTTCCTCAATGTTGTTGACAAAACTCCATATGTACAGATCAAGACATAGGCTATAGCAACTGCAATCTCAAACCCGCCATAGTTACTTGCGTTAAGACCATGCAGCATGAACGCGACAACAAGAAGACAAAAGACCGAGGAAGTCATCATCCATATTTTACTAACAGTGGTAGACAGACCAAGAAAAAGCACTCCAATTACCAGGAAACCAACCAGTCCGACCACTAAAGGGGGTCCCTCTGCCCCTTCAATAACCGATAGAGCTCGAACAGACCCCCAGATTGACCAGAAGCTAGCATAGAGAAGAAAAGAACAGCTTTCAAATGTCAGCCCCCTGGAGAAACTAACAAAACCAACAGCAAACTGAATCAGACCCCCAAAACCTACGGTCCACGGCAGGATCAACGGATCCGACCCCGACGGTATCCATATCAGAGAAAACGCAGCCACAGCATTTGCTGCGAATCCCACACATTGAGAGTCGACATATTTTGAATAACCTAGCATGATGTCTCCTGAGAGCTTATTAGAATCTGACCAAATGTCTTCTGTTTTTCTTGTCTTTCCTAAGTTTTGAAAAACTGAAAATAAATGTTTGACTTTCTCTTTTTCCATGATGTTATTACCCAATGGAAATGTTATTTCCAGTTCAGCCAAACGTGTAGTAGTGGCTACTAAACCATAGAGTGAGAGAACCATTCCTACCCATCCCATCACCCCTACAAATACCCCCTGTAACCCATCCACACCCAAAGATATGGTGAACATCGCCATCATCACGAAGTACAGGGACCTAAACAACTCCACTTTAATTTCAACTATTGAAACTAGACAAAAAATCAGAGCAAGTACAGCTGAAGTAGGAACAATGAAATTCATCTCTTTCCATAAATAATTTTCTACCATTAAACTAGATCCCACGCCGATCCAAAATAATCCGAAAATTACAACATTACCAGAACTGTTTGGATCCGATTTTCTTAAGGACGCAATACCGACGACAACTTGGAAGATACCGGAGGTTAGCAACCATGGAAATGAAAAGCGCGTATCAGAAATGATATTGATTACGTGACTAGCAAAAATTGTAAAACAGACAACATTTAGAGCATACATCATAACTAAATGATCCTTAAAAACGGCATTTTTTTGCGGTTTTGATTTGAGTTTAGCATCATCAGGGGATATTGTATTTGAGCGTTTGTAATGCGTCGAAATATTTGAGAGACAGAAATAAAGAAAAATCAACGTTAATAAAACATGGAGAACTCCGGTTCCTTGTACACTAACAAACATATTGATTATTTCAAATGTAAACAGGACCAAACATATAACTGAGATTGCTGCGCATGACCGGAAGTCCCTATTAGTTAGAGATGTACCAAGGAAAACGAGAAATACCAACATTAGGCCGCCATAACCCGGAAACAAGGCCTCATGAGAAGATACGTAATACTCTGAGGATAGATTCTGAGAGTAATTGACCTCTGTCCATATGTGATTAACCCCAACGCTTGACCAGAGTACTGCCAGGCAAAGAACGACGGACTGAAGCAACTGTTTGTGCGGAAAGGGTGACGTCATACCTAAAAAAGGCAAATTACATAAGGCTAGAATTTGAAGGACACTTAACATCAGCTGAGTAGGTGTACTGCTATGTAGTAGGGTTTATGCGTTTTATATAGATCTTCTCTGCATTATAGAAATTTTACGAAGATTCTATCCCACTCAACGTCCACCTAATCTCTCTGCCTGCTCGTTCATTCAGGTGCTCCAATCATGGAAATCATATCTTTAACACTAATTCAATGATATCCTTTAGACGGCCTGGCCTCTTAATCAAAATAATAGATTAGCGTGTATGACTTTTTTCTGAGTTAGAAATCAGTTTCAAAATGTTTCTATTATCATTAAATACAAATTGTGTTACAAACAATAGAATCGTATTATGAGAAATACTCATACAACCATTAAAATCAACTTTCTGATATCTTTTTTGTTTCCAAACTCCTTCCGAAATACATAAATATAGTATCTTGCAGCATAAATTCTGACATTGGTAATACATATGTACTACCAATATTCTCATAAACTATCGATTACAAAAATCATTCGCCAATATCAAATGCGGCATACCTGGGTTTTTACTGGGCCAACAAAAGTGATTGAAATATATTGGTTGGAAAATAAAGGTCAGTTCAAATGACGACAAATGAAGACGTATGTTTTCATCAATAGTATAATACAACTATATCAAACCAATTGCCTGAATTTTAAATAATTATGCATAGAATGATAAATAAAAACTTACCGGTAAGTAGGATTGCCAATGATAAGGCCACCAATGTACTCCCGTACGGAATGTTGTCAATAATAGCCTCGGATTGCTTCGCTGTGATAGTGTTGACACTGGTGAGAGCGAAGAGGAGACTTACAAGCAAGAACCCAGCAGCTGCAGCCGCATCCACGTGAATGCCGGCCATTTTGTTTACGTCCTTGATGGAATATGTAACTGCAGTGTGTTGACAAAAGACTTGATTGCGTCTAACTTGAGTGTGTTTGTGATGGTATTGGTCACACTTTTATAGCAACGAACATCTAACGAAATACGTCATTCACATATGTAGAGCGTCATGTTTTAAAATAAAGTACAGCATGGTTTCCAAGAATGTATACATGTACGACAAAATTCTCTTCCTGCTTTACGAAGGTACACTCTGACTAGTCTTATGTCTCAATGCGTTATACATTGGTTTAATATAGATTAAGGCGGAGCTTGAAGAGTAGCTCCGGGTATGTTTAATTCATCAATGTTTCCGAGTATCCGGGTAACTATATCGTGACGGCGCGTGGGGCGGTAGGCGGTGGGCGGCATTAGGGAACGCCCCTTTTTGTAAGCGAAGCATCACACATGTTTATTCATTGATGGAACAATAGATAAAACAAACGGCAATGAAAGTAAATCCGCATTTAGTGATATATAAGCGGACAAAGACATAAGTTTAATCATATTGACAATCCGCCTGTTAAAGTAGTATGGTTACGGTAAATGAAATGGAGGGATCTCGAACGAGTGGACGCGGTCTTCCCTTCGCGTCCGTTCTCTACAGCGAGCCCGGGGCCCTGGGGCTCATGGCCAACATCATGGCCGCTCTAATAGTAGCTATCGGTAACATGGTGGAAGGAGAGCATACGAAACTCACTCTCATTATAGCAGGTAAGTGTTAAACTTGTTTGAATAGATATCCCATAAATTCAGTTTTGGAATGTGTATCGCTAACGAGGAATGAGATGGAAAATTTCTGAATTAACACTTTCGTAGTAATGTACAGTATATATATTGTATGGTATAGAAAGCACTGCCTAGGTTCTTGTTCCAATATATTCGATATGAATTTATGAGTATTTCCGACTTCAACATATACATAATTATATAATGAGGGACAGAAAATATTAGAAAAATAAATATAAACGAATGTTCAATCGGCCAGAGAGTCTGAGGCAGTCATTATGACAGTTATATTCCCTTGTAATATACAAACATGTTATATCTATTCTACCAAATGAAAGTGTTATTGAATGTGCTTTCGTGTCCATTTCAAAGCAACAAGACCTAGACTATCTAATTTTTCAAAAATTCAATAGTTCTTTTCTACACCCAAACCTTTATAATGTGATGCCTCGCTTCTATTTCACCAACTAACCACTGTCATAGTGGTCATGTTGTGACGTTACAGCCAGTGGTCATGTTGTGCCGTTACAGCGAGTGGCCATGTTGTGCCGTTACAACCAGTGGTCATGTTGTGACGTTACAGCCAGTGGCCATGTTGTGCCGTTACAACCAGTGGTCATGTTGTGACGTTACAGCCGGTGGTCATGTTGTGCCGTTACAGCTAGTGGTCATGTTGTGACGTTACAGCCAGTGGGCGTGTTGTGACGTTACAGCCAGTGGTCATGTTGCGCCGTTACAGCCAGTGGCCATGTTGTGCCGTTACAACCAGTGGCCATGTTGTGACGTTACAGCCGGTGGTCATGTTGTGCCGTTACAGCTAGTGGTCATGTTGTGACGTTACAGCCAGTGGTCATGTTGCGCCGTTACAGCCAGTGGCCATGTTGTGCCGTTACAGCCAGTGGCCATGTTGTGCCGTTACAGCCGGTGGTCATGTTGTGACGTTACAGCCAGTGGTCATATTGTGACGTTACAGCCAGTGGCCATGTTGTGACGTTACAGCCGGTGGTCGTGTTGTGACGTTACAGCCAGTGGTCATGTTGTGCCGTTACAGCCGGTGGCCATGTTGTGCCGTTACAGCTAGTGGTCATGTTGTGACGTTACAGCCAGTGGTCATATTGTGACGTTATAGCCAGTGGTCATGTTGTGACGTTACAGCCAGTGGTCGTGTTGTGACGTTACAGCCAGTGGTCATGTTGTGCCGTTACAGCCAGTGGCCATGTTGTGCCGTTACAGCCGGTGGTCATGTTGTGACGTTACAGCCAGTGGTCATATTGTGACGTTACAGCCAGTGGCCATGTTGTGACGTTACAGCCGGTGGTCGTGTTGTGACGTTACAGCCAGTGGTCATGTTGTGCCGTTACAGCCGGTGGCCATGTTGTGCCGTTACAGCTAGTGGTCATGTTGTGACGTTACAGCCAGTGGTCATATTGTGACGTTATAGCCAGTGGTCATGTTGTGACGTTACAGCCAGTGGTCATGTTGTGACGTTACAGCCAGTGGTCATGTTGTGCCGTTACAGCCAGTGGCCATGTTGTGCCGTTACAGCCAGTGGTCATGTTGTATGTGTATTTGAATGCTCCCTTTTCACGTCAAAGATTATTCGTTAAAGACCAGTCAGCGTTGCGCGTACACGTTTCTTTTCTTGGAAAATAATACTTGCACGCGCATATAAGCCAATAAAAGGGGTCGTTACATCGCCAATCTGGTAGAATAGATTATAATGTACATTAGGTAAATCTCATATTACATATAAGGTTATAAGATAATATTGTACGTTATGATATTACTGTACAATTTGTTTAAAACAATTTTTAGCGATTTTCGGTAATACTAACAGGCACTTATTCATTATTTCCTTTCCTCGAGAAAAAAGCGGTAAAGGTGTGCGTGTGAAACATAATGAGAACGTTGTTAATATCTAAGGAATACACAAAGTCTGCGTTTTAATTATGTAATATATTACTGTAGAATACACTGTAGCAAATGTCGTATAAAACTGTTGATAACCTTCTAGGTAGTAAATACTATCATTCATTAAAATGTCTTGACATCAGTTTCTTGACCTGCTGTCTGGTACGTAGTAACACTACCGTTAGACACACACACACATACCTGTCTACGATTAACAATATCACTCCAATCGATGAATGATAGGTGCAAAAAAACCAAAGCCAGAGGTCCGTCCTGGTTGACTGGCAGAGATTGGTATAGGTGGGGATTCCCCAGCCTGCATGACCCCGACAGGTTTCAGTACACGTGTGTAAACATTGATTTAACCCCAACAGGTATCACATACCTGACTGTCTATCGTACAGCACAGATATAGATTTAAGTGCCAAGTTGATATAAACCTACTTAACTGGGGTATTTAGTCGACATCATGTCCCGATTTTTATTATTAAGGAGCAACGACTTTCAGTCTGTTAATCGTTTAGATTCATTAGTTAAAATAAAAGACTAAATAAATGAAGTAAATTAAAAGAAGGAGAAATGTAAGAATATTACTCATCTAATGTTAATTGATATATATTTTTTAAATTATGTAGATTTGCTTTAATCAATTTATAAACATTGTATTATCTTAGAAATAGGATGACTAAACTGTTTTGTTGATAGAGGGAAGAGTAAATAATGAGATTTTTTATTTTTGTTTCGTGTGCGTGTGTGTTTGCGTGTATGTGTGTGTGTGTGTGTGTGTTAGAGGCTAATCAGTGATCCCGTTTCGTTAAAAAACCAATTATTTCTTCGAATCGGTTACTAATTGACTATGATATTAAATTGAAAATATTCATGATGCCATCAAAAATGATTGCACGTGTTTTATAACTACCCTACAGAAAATAGCTTAGTCGACATTTTTTAATTTTACCAATTATAAAAATATTATTTCTAATTACATACAAATGAAATAGAGTATATTATGCAGAACCCCCCCCCCCCCCCAAAAAAAAGGCCCACGGCGCTGACATTGAATTGATTTTAAAATGGAAACATTAATTATTTGAATATATTTCCAATGTTTACTTTATTGAGGAGCATTTTTGTCAAATCTAACATATAATTAACATAATTATTAATATAATGTTGACAAAAAACTTCTACAGTCAAACCTGTTTCAACGACCACATGTATTCAGCTACTTCCTGTCTTACACGACATAAATTATACCCCCTCCCCCCCAATGATATTTACTATATAACTGACCTGTATTCAACGATTCCATGCCTAACGCGACTAACGACCAGAACATTTCACACCAAAAGTGTAAAAAAAACCCGTCTCGGGCGACTTTTCCGATATTGAAAACGAAACCGGAAGTTGTAAAATGAAATTGTAGCGTGTTTACATTCATTTAAATGTTCAACATTTGTCTTATGTGACCTTATTTTGAACTTCCCTCGGAAGGTCACATAAGACAGGTTTGACTGTATTGTCATATTTAAATTTTTATCAACAGAACACAATTTTATCTTGTAGGAGTCCATTTAATTCTGGTAGGAGGTTTTCTGCAACTGGTGGCCGGGCTGTTGTCCTTCAGACGAAACGACCACCTAACTGGGACAGCTTTTGTTGTGTTCGCCTCCCTTTGGTCATTTCAGGGAATCACCTACATACTGACCACTGACATGCCGGACCTTAATGGCGCTGCTCTGTCCGGTCTGGTAGGCTACATGGCCGTAGCAATGGTTCTCTTTGTCTGTTCCCTGTTTGTCAACTATATACTACCTCCAGTACTGGCGGCCATGCTACTAACTCTGGTATTTGAGGCCGCAGGGTTATATTTTCTATGGGCTAAACGGGTTGCTGCTGCATTTGAACTTTTTATTGTGTTCACGGCCATATATGCTGTCGTTGTCATGACAACCAAGGGCGTCAGCCTGAGATACGTTTTACCGGGGTTTGGAAATGCACCTATTGACCCCCTCTTAATCCGAACTTTTGCTAAGGGTAAGAAGAAGAACGAGACGAAAAAGAACACCAAGTACGCTGAGCCGATGGGTTTGGGGTACATCGCCAATATAGTGCCAGCTGCAGTGCTGTGTTTCCACAGCCTTGGGTACTTTACCGATTTCCGGCCCGCCATGGGGGCCTTCATGTGCAGTAGTCTTTGTCATATTGTATCCAGTTACTACGCCTTCCTGCGACGAGATCACTTCCATTCTGTACAATTCATCGTTTATTTCATCTTCTGGATCAGTCGAGGAGTCGGGGCGTTTCTCGTGACCTTTGACCTCGGAGGCGACACGACCTCTGTGACAAACTACTACGGTTCCTGGGGTATGGTACTGGTCCTTGTTGCCATACTGGTAGTTTCGACCACGCAGAGTGTCGTTGTTTTCCTTTACAATCTCCTTCTCACACTCATCGCCATTCTGTCCGTGGAGCATATCCCGGGGTCGGTTCGTAACTACACGTTTGGTGTGTCGTCTGCTATTCTTGCACTTGTCAGCATCTACATCTCCATCGCACATCTTCTTAACTCACTGGCGGAAAAGTCCATTGTCTATGTAGGCCCAGAAATCATAGCTGCCGAGAAACTTCAATGTGCCTTCGGATGCTTTCGGTAAGAAGAGGGGTACCCTTAAAAAATATAATGTACAAGGGGTAGTATGCTTATTGCCCATTATTCTCGTCGTTACATTGTTACAGTAAATTTCATATAATAGAGCTCCGCTAATCCAACTACATTAAACAATGCTTTATTGGTTTTCCTCAGTTACAACCAGATATGCAGCCAGACAACTTTCAATCCTTTTTAACAGAGTAGACCGACTGTATTAAACAAATGATAAAAAAACACCAAAAAATCACACAACCTTGACAGAACAATTATAACGGAGTACATGTGTTTCAAACTCCATACATACAGTTTACATAAATTGCTGTATTGAAATTTTGTATTAAAAAAAGTATATCATATATCCCTTAACATTCCTCGATGAATAATGGTTTTGCAGAAAGAAAACAGATGAAACTGAAGGATCCCCGACAGACTTAACTGAAGGATCCCCCCCGATCACGGGGGACAGTGACAAAGACTTGAACGTGGTGGACTCCTTAGCTTTCCTTGGTAACATGGTGGCAGCTATTGCTTTATCTCCAGCCGAGGTCACGCATGGGCAGAACGCCCTTCCCTGGCTTCTCGTGTCCGGGGTACTCATTAACTTGTACTGCGCACGCCTAGCATATGCCGCCGGAAGTCTAGCTCGGGCGTTCATGATGGTGGTTTTAGCAATGGTTTGGGGAACGTGGTCTCTGGTGTTTTTCGAAGGTATGTCGAACTACAACCATCAAACGAAAAGGTACTTTGTTGGTTTGTAATGCATGGTAAGAAGAACGTCTCTTTTACGTTTTAAATTGTTGTGTTCTTGACATTCTCCATCATTGCAAACTTGTTAAACTCACAAATGTAATGTCATTTCGTTATCCTGATATATAGAGTCAGCTCGCAATGTTCTGTATGAGTTTATTCTGTGTGCACAGGTATCGATGCATCTCAGTTAAAAGGTGCTGCAATTGGTGTAATGTGCCTACACACCTGTGCCTTACTGATGACGACCACATTTTCCAGGGTGTGGATGGTATTTGGTGTAAGCGTGGAGTTAAACATACTGGCCCTGGTCTTCCAAGTGTTTGCCGTCAACAGTCAGTACATGGGTCTCGTCACGTCGCTATTTGTAGGTAAGGGTGTGATCCAATCGGGTTGTTGCACCACACAAACCTGCTCTTCTTGTCAGTTTTCGGTCCACACGGGGCAAACTAAGATTCTGTCAAGATGAATGATTACATAACTGATACCCATCTACTTTATGAGGGAAGGAGAACCTATATAAAGCGTAAATGGCACCCATTATGTCAAGGAAAAACAGTATAAACATCTAAAAGTCTAAATCATTGTAGTTTGTTCGGGGGGAAAATGATAACATTTATCATATACTGTGGTTTTATTTTGGTTTAGGTATTATTGGACTGTATGGCACTCTCTCGGGTATCCTGAAAGGGGTCATTGACAGTGACGCGCTACCGAAAGGCGAACCAGTCATAAAGGTATCATTAGTCAATCGGTTTTTATATAAAAGGTACATTTTACAAACAAAAAGTTTGTATAAAAAGTTTGAATAAAACAATTAATTCAGATGTTCCATATCTTGTTCACATGCGTCGTCCTATTTGTTCTTTTGCAAATAACATAAAGGAACATTTTATAGTCATAATGTACGTTTATTGTACACAGATAACAGCAATGTTGTGTTAAATATTTTACGAATTCGGTGTAGAAAACACCAACAGTACAGGAAAACTTTTTTCAATTTAATTGATTTAGCCTAAAGCAGAGACGGAGGAGGAGAGGTTACCCTGTGAGATGATTCCCTCGCGAAAAGCTTCGGCCCTCTGGAGGGCAGCTCAACTCCTTGACGAAGGTCACGTGATTGGCGTACCAACAGACACAGTGTACGCCCTGGCTTCATCATGCAAGGTCCCAAAGTCTGTCAGCGCCATCTATCACATCAAAGGGAGGCCAGCAGAAAAACCTATCTGTCTCTGTATATCTAACATTGAACAGTTGAAAGCTGCAAATCCTCCATTCAGGTACTGTGTGCCTTTTCGTTCGACCTAAATTTGAAACTGCTGATTACGGAACCTATGTTAATAAAAAAGACGTAATCGGCAGTCTAATTAAAAAAAATATCCTAATAACTTGTGTTCTACGGTGAGATTAACATTGTAGCACGATACTGAGGATTTGATTTCATTCAAAAGACTGTTGTATACGAAAACAATATAATAATCAATTGTACGCACTGTATTGATTTCTGCAGTGCTCTTCTATGGAGGTTCATGGACGTTTGCTATCCCGGGGGTATTACCTGTGTGGTACCTAAGGGGGAGTGGTTAGCGAGGCTGGGGGTAGGTGATGCTGTTGATTACATAGGAACGAAGGAAAGTGTGGCCATCCGAGTTCCCGACTCTTCTGTGCTATCTTACCTCACAAGTATTTCCGGTCCTGTGGCCCTGACCTCGGCCAATCCAAGTGGGGAACCGGACAGTCTGCATCATGATACGGTCATAGACACACTAGGTAAGTACTTGTTTGCGAAAGATTATTAAGAAGAGGCAGTTTTGACGATTACTCAATATCATAAACATTCCGATTTCCGCCTGGGAACCAAAAGAGATTCCTATTTAGATCAAATTAGTGTATCAGACATACCTTACTATGCCGATTTCCTTTTGGAAACCCAAAGTGGAAACCCAAAGATAGTTCTATTTAGATCAAATTATAAAATGTTTACTACTTCAGGTACTATAGAAACTCATCAAATCAAATAATAAAAAGGAAAATTAGTCAAATGCATTCTCTGTTTTGTTTTTTCCTCGGGCAACTAGACGAACGCAGTAAAATGATGTATAGCTAGGTAAAAATTGATCAACATCTGGAAAGGCTGTTCAACGAGAAAACTGCAATTGCTATTTGGCATTCAACATGCCGTGTTCCATACTTCATCCATATCCTTGCATTCCTAAGCTGTTGCTTAATGTTCAATTAAAGGAATATTTTCCTTATATTTTAATACTTTTTAGTACGCCTCTGTATCCGTGTGAAGGGAAACCATCGCAGGCTGGTGGAAATATATAATGCACATGGTTAAACTTAACGGCACCAGGCCACATCTAACGTTTTGTATAATTTCTAAATGGCCTGAGTAAATTATGTGTAACATTTAGAGCCTTGGCTTTATTAACCAGTGTCTTTGAGTCACGTAAACCATTCTTTCTTTCATTGAATTTCTATATACACTGTAATAAGTGTTTAACTCGGACAGAACACCAGCAGTTTTAAGTGTTAGTTTTTCAGCATATACAACTTCATCCTCGATATCCAGGGGTTACGCTCACTTTCGCTCTCTGCACCCCTGGAATATGTCATAGCAAAATTGAAGGCTCAGTGTGCGCCACCTTGTTGATGAGACAAGAAAACTAGTTCGATCCTTTGATGTTCACCAAAAGAATTTCGCGGTCACGTAACGGTAATAAAAATTGATAGGCTTTGCAGTCGGGCGTCTCTCCTTTGTAATCTTCAAAGGACAAGTATCGGCCCAGCGATTGGTCAGTTTCATTTACCTGAGACCAATCAAACTTCGTGCATGTACTTGAGAATATAGTTACATATATTGTTAGGTAGTTACAGTACTGTGTTGGTTTTGTAGGACACAAATTGGCCGCGGTGGTATGTGACGACGAATCTAACGAAATAGTGGCATCAACAGTAGTTAATTGTGCCAAGATAGATGAGGGTAAGTAACAGTCTATTTTCTGTAGTCCCTCAGCGAAACTTCACTCATTCATCCCTACATATCTAAACTGGACTTGTTCAGTCTTTGATTTGGTAAGGCTCAAATGTGACTTTAGTGGTGAATGGGTTAATTGTTTTTAATTTTCTTTTTGCAAGTACAAATGTCCAAGTACATATGTAAGCGGTTATATACAGTTCTTTGTGGTTAATGCCTTATAGGTTTAATACAATAGAAAGCTAGCCTTGTACTCGGTACCATTTTTTCCTCATAATTCAGGATCATTCAGTGATGACGAAGTTAGAAATCCCAGAATTTCTCTCTCGATACACTTATCTTCTATGCAGAGAATATATGTGTTTCGAAACCCAAGGATTTAAAGGATGACTTTTCATTGACTTCTTAACTTTGCATATTTATACGTAATTCAATTAATGCCATCTATATTTATATTTCAGGTGTGATTTCATACTTTCGGATAGGCTGTGTGCCGAAGGAGCGAGTGGACCAGTTATTCGAACAAGTGAAATCAGAATTAAATCGGGAGTCAACGAAAGTCAACATGAATCAACCATCATTTAACTCTTAAACAAGGGACGACAACTCGTCTCAAACAAGGGGCGACAACTTGTATTAAACAAGGGACGACAACTATCCGTGGGGCGACAACACTTCATGTTGTCTTCTAAAACAATACTTTTACAAGTAGAGTGGATGTTATGTATGAGGTGAATGCAGGTTGTTTGTGCTTGTTATAGATTATTTATTGTTTACGTTTTCAATAAAATTATGTTTAATTCGTTTAAGTTTTAGTTTTCTCTGATGAAAATAAATCAATACAGAGCACAACCTCCCGGTAAGGCATTTGACCAGAGAAAGATGTATTTGCATACATCTAACTTTCGTTATTGCACATATAGACAAGATTTCATAGCATAACGTTCAACATTTAGGACCCCAATTTTCTAATTTCAATTTGGTATTTTCTATTGGAACAAAAAACATAAGGACCATTTCAACATCAGCTCGAGTATTCCTGAGTTAGAAAACATAAAGACACGAGCACAGATAGTTCGGAAGACATCCTTACATAAGAAGGAAATCGTATTTCGTGATATTTAATACAGACTTGTATACAGCATATCAGCTATACATGTAGAATATTATTAATACTGTTTCCTATAAAACTGCAAACTTAAATATAATTACTTGTACGTAAGTCATCGATGCGATTCTCATCAGTATGACATTTAATTTCATTGATTCTTTAATTAATTATTTGGATTGAAGTAAAAGTGTTTTTCTTAACTCGAAGAAATTAAAAGATTAAGTCATTGTTTTGTGAAACTGTGTATACTAACGTGGAGTATAAATATACATATAACACGGCACCTTGTCTAGTCCCTCTAGAAAGTGTAATGTACGTTCAGTTGTAATCACCCAAAGAGGCATTACAATGACTTGACCCTTGACCTTGTTATTCGTGTTGTAAACGACATGCTGTCCATTTGTGACAAATCTCTTAAATGAAATTTCGTAAAAACATTTGAGATGACCATGACAATCATTGATGTGTTTTGACCTCTCTTTGTGACCTTGACTTATGGAGTGCTGGTCCGAGAGTTACAGCGACAAATCTATTCTAGTCATGATGCATCCATTTAGGAACTTTCGTTCTCAAACATTGATCCGTTGAAAAGTAATTGTCAGGTGAAAAGTTTGGTTTAAACGGCTTGACTCGTGACCAAATTCTGTTTAGACGGCTTGCCTCTGGACAAAAGTTTGGTTTAAACAGCTTGACTCGGGAAAGAAGTTTGATTTAAACAGCTTGACTCAGGACAAAAGTTTGGTTTAGACGGCTTGACTCAGGACAGAAATTTGGTTTAGACGGCTTGACTCATGGCAGAAGTTTGGTTTATAAACGGCTTGACTCATGGCAGAAGTTTGGTTTATAAACGGCTTAACTCAGGACAAAAGTTTGGTTGATACGGCCTGACTCAGGACAAAAGTTTGATTTAGACGGCTTGACTCAGGGCAAAAGTTTGATTTAGACGGCTTGACTCAGGACAAGAGTTTGGTTGATACGGCCTGACTCAGGACAGAAGTTTGATTTAGACGGCCTGACTCAGGACAAGAGTTTGGTTGATACGGCTTGACTCAGGACAGAAGTTTGATTTAGACGGCCTGACTCAGGACAGAAGTTTGATTTAGACGGCCTGACTCAGGACAAAAGTTTGATTTAGACGGCTTGACTCAGGACAAGAGTTTGGTTGATACGGCCTGACTCAGGACAGAAGTTTGATTTAGACGGCCTGACTCAGGACAAAAGTTTGATTTAGACGGCTTGACTCAGGGCAAAAGTTTGATTTAGACGGCTTGACTCAGGACAAGAGTTTGGTTGATACGGCCTGACTCAGGACAGAAGTTTGATTTAGACGGCCTGACTCAGGACAGAAGTTTGATTTAGACGGCTTGACTCAGGGCAAAAGTTTGATTTAGACGGCTTGACTCAGGACAAGAGTTTGGTTGATACGGCCTGACTCAGGACAGAAGTTTGATTTAGACGGCCTGACTCAGGACAAAAGTTTGGTTGATACGGCTTGACTCAGGACAGAAGTTTGATTTAGACGGCCTGACTCAGGACAAAAGTTTGGTTGATACGGCTTGACTCAGGACAGAAGTTTGATTTAGACGGCCTGACTCAGGACAGAAGTTTGATTTAGACGGCCTGACTCAGGACAGAAGTTTGATTTAGACGGCCTGACTCAGGGCAAAATTTCGATTAAGACGGCTTGACGGACACCAACAAAATCACGCAACATATATATTTATATATTACAATTTTTTTTTTTTTTAATAATCAATAAATCCCCCAATGAATGTCTCTATCTATTATTTAATGACATAACATGGAATTTCCTACACTTTGGAACATCTCATAACATGTAAACACCATGATCATTTGTGATGGCCACAATGGTAGTGACGTGTTCGACGTCACATTGCCGGCCTGTGGCTGGGGAATGCAATTTAATCGAAATTAGCAATGACCTAGTTCCATTAAATTTAGTAACATAACATGATCAGATTAAAGGGAAATTGTTAAGTTAATGAAAAAAAATCCTATGGAAAGTTTTAAATACAGTAGTTTCTGACCGTAAATAGACTTTGTGAAACTGGGGAGGGAGAAGATCTTGAGAAATTATCTAGCGCAGTAAGTACATAAACACAATAGTGACATTGACCATCAAACCACACCCGTCTTATTGAACACGAAGCTGATAACTTGTGTAAATGTCTAAAAGACTGACAATGATGTAGGTCAGAACTCCCATCAGGCCTCCTCCGGATAGTTGGACACTTCTATGAGGTTATTATCGGGATCTCTGATGTACACCGACCGGATCGGTCCGACAGCTCCGGTTCTCTCTATTGGTCCTTCCAAGATAGGAACTTGACAATTCTGTAACATAAAATCACAGCTTTTGTCGAATAAAACTGTATTGTTTTCCTTGTTGTGTTTTGTATGGTTTTATTGACACTTTGGTATTTCTTGTTGTTTGTTTGTATGGTTTTATTAACATTTTGGTATTCCTTGTTCTTTTTTGTATGGTTTTATTAACACTTTGGTATTCCTTGTTGTTTTTCGTATGGTTTTATTGACATTTTGGTATTCCTTGTTGTTTGTTTGTATGGTTTTATTGACACTTTGGTATTCCTTGTTGTTTCTTTGTATGGTTTTATTGACACTTTGGTATTCCTTGTTGTTTGTTTGTATGGTTTTATTGACACTTTGGTATTCCTTATCGTTTTTTGTATGGTTTTATTGACACTTAGGTATTCCTTGTTGTTTCTTTGTATGGTTTTATTGACACTTTGGTATTCCTTGTTGTTTGTTTGTATGGTTTTATTGACACTTTGGTATTCCTTGTTGTTTTTTGTATGGTTTTATTGACACTTTGATATTCCTTGTTGTTTTTTGTATGGTTTTATTGACACTTTGGTATTCCTTGTTGTTTCTTTGTATGGTTTTATTGACACTTTGGTATTCCTTGTTGTTTGTTTGTATGGTTTTATTGACACTTTGGTATTCCTTGTTGTTTGTTTGTATGGTTTTATTGACACTTTGGTATTCCTTGTTGTTTGTTTGTATGGTTTTATTGACACTTTGGTATTCCTTGTTGTTTGTTTGTATGGTTTTATTGACACTTTGGTATTCCTTGTTGTTTGTTTGTATGGTTTTATTGACACTTTGGTATTCCTTGTTGTTTGTTTGTATGGTTTTATTGACACTTTGGTATTCCTTGTTGTTTGTTTGTATGGTTTTATTGACACTTTGGTATTCCTTGTTGTTTGTTTGTATGGTTTTATTGACACTTTGGTATTCCTTGTTGTTTGTTTGTATGGTTTTATTGACACTTTGGTATTCCTTGTTGTTTGTTTGTATGGTTTTATTGACACTTTGGTATTCCTTGTTGTTTGTTTGTATGGTTTTATTGACACTTTGGTATTCCTTGTTGTTTGTTTGTATGGTTTTATTGACACTTTGGTATTCCTTGTTGTTTTTTTGTATGGTTTTATTGACACTTTGGTATTCCTTGTTGTTTGTTTGTATGGTTTTATTGACACTTTGGTATTCCTTGTTGTTTGTTTGTATGGTTTTATTGACACTTTGGTATTCCTTGTTGTTTGTTTGTATGGTTTTATTGACACTTTGGTATTCCTTGTTGTTTGTTTGTATGGTTTTATTGACACTTTGGTATTCCTTGTTGTTTGTTTGTATGGTTTTATTGACACTTTGGTATTCCTTGTTGTTTGTTTGTATGGTTTTATTGACACTTTGGTATTCCTTGTTGTTTGTTTGTATGGTTTTATTGACACTTTGGTATTCCTTGTTGTTTGTTTGTATGGTTTTATTGACACTTTGGTATTCCTTGTTGTTTGTTTGTATGGTTTTATTGACACTTTGGTATTCCTTGTTGTTTGTTTGTATGGTTTTATTGACACTTTGGTATTCCTTGTTGTTTTTTTGTATGGTTTTATTGACACTTTGGTATTCCTTGTTGTTTGTTTGTATGGTTTTATTGACACTTTGGTATTCCTTGTTGTTTGTTTGTATGGTTTTATTGACACTTTGGTATTCCTTGTTGTTTGTTTGTATGGTTTTATTGACACTTTGGTATTCCTTGTTGTTTGTTTGTATGGTTTTATTGACACTTTGGTATTCCTTGTTGTTTGTTTGTATGGTTTTATTGACACTTTGGTATTCCTTGTTGTTTGTTTGTATGGTTTTATTGACACTTTGGTATTCCTTGTTGTTTGTTTGTATGGTTTTATTGACACTTTGGTATTCCTTGTTGTTTGTTTGTATGGTTTTATTGACACTTTGGTATTCCTTGTTGTTTGTTTGTATGGTTTTATTGACACTTTGGTATTCCTTGTTGTTTGTTTGTATGGTTTTATTGACACTTTGGTATTCCTTGTTGTTTGTTTGTATGGTTTTATTGACACTTTGGTATTCCTTGTTGTTTGTTTGTATGGTTTTATTGACACTTTGGTATTCCTTGTTGTTTGTTTGTATGGTTTTATTGACACTTTGGTATTCCTTGTTGTTTGTTTGTATGGTTTTATTGACACTTTGGTATTCCTTGTTGTTTGTTTGTATGGTTTTATTGACACTTTGGTATTCCTTGTTGTTTGTTTGTATGGTTTTATTGACACTTTGGTATTCCTTGTTGTTTGTTTGTATGGTTTTATTGACACTTTGGTATTCCTTGTTGTTTGTTTGTATGGTTTTATTGACACTTTGGTATTCCTTGTTGTTTGTTTGTATGGTTTTATTGACACTTTGGTATTCCTTGTTGTTTGTTTGTATGGTTTTATTGACACTTTGGTATTCCTTGTTGTTTGTTTGTATGGTTTTATTGACACTTTGGTATTCCTTGTTGTTTGTTTGTATGGTTTTATTGACACTTTTGTATTCCTTGTTGTTTGGTTCTATGGTTTTATTGACACTTTGGTATGCCTTGCTGTTTTTGTATGGTTTTATTGACACTTTGGTATTCGTTGTTGTTTTTGTATGGTTTTATTAATACTTTGGTATTTATCGTTGGTTTTTTTGTATGGTTTTATTGACACTTTTGTATTCCTTTTTTATCGTACACACTAGCTGATTTTATTAATTGAATATTACTGTATCCACGACAGATTGTTATATTTCTCAAATGAACAATTTACGGGTAAAATCGTTTTACATTTGTGTTTAAAATGTACTTTTATAGAAAATTCCCCATGAACTTCTTAGGAGGTGCACATATATACTATCGGACCAGTAAGTATATTTCTGGTCAAGTACTTCGGTTTTACTCAGTTAGGAGAAGTTTTTGCGGAAAATGAGGTTACTACAGGGGAAGTAAAACCCATTTGTCTCACCTTGAAATGCTGTATGACTTTATCCAGGGTTTCCTGTGTGATAAAACAGACGTCGGCTGAACCAGGAGTGGGTAGATGTGCCTTTGGTTCGAACTCCTTCTTATGCTCGTGAATATTAATCTTTTGTTCGCCGAAATTCAAAGCTTTCCTTCCACCCTGAAAAAGGAAATTAAAAATATTCCTCCCATCGTGAAACAGGAAATGCAAAGCTTTTCTAAAAACCTGAATCACGAAATTCATAGCTTTCCTCCAACTCCAAAACACGAAGTTCCAAAATGTCTCCCACTATGAAACACGAAATTCAAATCTTTCCCCCCACCGTGAAACAGGAAATTAAAGCCTTCCTCCCACGAATGAAACCGGAAATTAAAAGCTTTCCTCCCATCCTAAAACACGAAAATTAAAGCTTTCCTCTTACAGTGAAACATGAAATTAAAAGCTTTCCTCCCATCCTAAAACACGAAATTCAAAGCTTTCCTCTTACTGTGAAACATGAAATTAAAAGCTTTCCTCTCAACCTAAAACACGAAATTCGAAATTTCCTCCCACCGTGAAAGGTGAAACGTCTTTACCGTCATTTGTTGTTTACTATGCATATATTTCTCTTTACAATTTTGTGTGATCTTATGTTGTAATGCCTAATACTGACGCCATGTGCAGTGGTTCAATTGAATGAATATAAAAAGAAATTCGGGGAAATGCAGTTTAAAGTATCCCAAGGGAAATTGTCTGGAACATGCCTTAAAAATACCAAAAAATCTCTTACATGTTGCTTTGTTTTTTTCTGTTTCTTTCTGATGCCAAAAGGGTAAAAATGAAGATTCTAGATGCGGATTATTCATTTCCGATGTATAAGTTATAATCACAATTAGAAACTCTTTGGGCTCCTAGTGAGTACACGTGGATGACCTGACCGGAACTGACCGGAACTAACCTTGAAGGTGGACACTTCCATACCCAGAACTTTGGAGTAAAAGTCACACGTCGCATCTACGTCCTTCACAGTGATGACGAAATGATCAAGTCTATGTATAGCAAACCCGCTGACCAGTCGCATACATCTTTGGACATAGGGATTCTGTAACAAACAGGGTCATTAAAGGTTGAGATTTTACAGAAATATAAGAAACAGATTTTAAAAAGGTTGGTGAAATAGTATATAACCTGTTGCTCCATGCTTCCAATGGAATTCCTATATATAAAGATGGCGGTGATGAGTCGAAGATAAATCTACACTGGAGTATTACGACAAGTGATGTTGTGTCACGGCAAGGCGTGTGACAACGCAAATATGACTATAGTTGGAGGAATGAATAAATTAAATATCATTTGAATTAATTAATACATGATCACATGTAGTAAAGAACATATCTTTGATGGGTCGATAAATGAATGTTATGCCATTACACTAAATATTGAAAAATCAATGTCATGGTAAACATTTAAAACAATGACCCAAATATTGTACAATATGTATCTAGATTCCTGTATAGAACGACATCAGGGACGTTTGACAAATAAAATAATATAGTTAGGGATGACACTGCAGTTATATCTTTAAGTGAAGATCTATACTTCGTTTGATTTTCAGTAAAATATTAGTTTGGAGTACGAATACTGGATATGGAGACGACAGAAATCTACCCAATGATACCCAGACATCAAGTACAAACAACAAAGAAGATAAACTGTTTAAACGTAGTTCTTCCAACGGTCGATCATCTCGTCCTCATCTGACCCTGGCTGTTGTGAGGACGTTAAACCTCAAACAAACAAACAAACAAACGAACAGAAAAACAAGCGGTCGGTGATTATAACCAATAGGTTACGTTGAAATATAAATTAATATATTACCATTGAACAAAATAAATCAAAAAAATGAAAAACAAAAACATCAGTATGATGTAATGTTCTACTGGTACATCCAAACGCAGCCGAGGGTTGCCTCGCAATCGACCAATCTCTCCAAACGTTCCTTACGCTGCTACTTCCCTTTGATTCCGTAAACGCCACGCGCCATTTCAAGATTCTTGAAAACGTACTTGCATCACGTTCCATTATGAGACGAAATTATGATTTAATCTATTTCATCTGCTTCCATTTAATACAACCCTGTTTTGATTTTTGAAATATTCAAACGGAATTTGACACCAGATAGGACAACTTAGAAACGTCCTTTTCCATTAAACAATTAAACGATGGCATCATTAATTGGCAGCATATTTAAATACCAATATTTATACAATAAAAGTAACATTATTATGTATAGATGGTATATTCGTACCAGTACCCACTTCAGTAAATTAACGTCATACACAATCACAAATCAATTTCAATATCATCAATTTGGCGTAAATATGGTGTCGATTTTTTTTTTGCGGAAATATTTGCTACCCAACAGTCACGTACAGATCCACTTTGCATCTTTGTTTTCAAACAACATGGTGATTGTGTTTACAAAATCTAAAAATAGCAAAGGCAAATAATTTAATTTGTATAATGAAATAAGCTGTTGTTGATATTTTCACAATTTCAGTAGCATTGACCATAGTCCGAATTATTCTGACGTTTTATCGACTTTTTTCATATCGGTCTGTCGTCGTTTAATCGACGACAGACCGATATGAAAAAAGTCGATAAAACGTCAGAATAATTCGGACTACATTGACCACAGCTCACCTACTACATTACCTTCTCGACATCTACATTCAAAACGTTTTTTTTGGTGCTAGTTTCCAGGAGATCATTTACAGAGATTATCCGGCATATTTATAAGTCTACCGAAACGAAATCCACCCTTTTGGCCTTATATTTACAATTGTGTTGCTTTCTGCACTTGTTACAACCTTACACAAGTAAGACTAGACCATGTCGTCATCATCCACTCGGCAGTTCCTAAGAAAATGCGACAACAAGCTTAACATGCAAATTCAAAAAATGGGTGCGTTGCAGCTATTTGTATCTTAAATTATAGTAAGCAACACTAGGTATAAAAGGGATCAAGTATACACAGATTCACCTTCATCTCTTTCCTAAATTTCTGAGAAGTTCCCGTAATAAACTTTCCACACACATTAGCCATACAAAAGCTAATATGGTTTGGTGGTCATTTTGGTTCCCTGAATCACTCGTATGTGAAGCAGGAACAGCTAAGGATTAAGCAAATCATGCTTAAATCTTTTCCCTTTCAGTAGTTCCTGAGAAAAAGCGTAACAAACTTGAAGTGCAAAATCCTAGATGGCTGCCTGACAGTCATATATTTCCCTGATCAATGTCAAATCAAATTGGAGCAATACGATTATATATTATTAAGGGGCCCATGCAAACCAGAAGTTCCTGGGAAATGACGGTAATGCATTTCAAATGCTAAAAAAATATATTCTTGCTTAGAAGCAATTTAGCTTTTCCGATCCCACCGAAAATAAAACATGCACAACCATGGATAAAGGAGAGAATAAAATAATGTATATCTCTAGTTTCGTCAGGATTCCTTCTGTAGTTCTTGAGGGAAAATAGCGGTACCAAACTCAACACGCAAATATTAAGATGGCTGCCTGGCGGCCATTTTGCGTTTCATCGATCCACCTCAAATCAAAGTATGCACAAAGTCTACATATTGACTAAGAGAATCATGCGTACCATGTTTCATATTAATCATATAAGTAGTTTCTAAAGATTTTTTGGTAGCAAGAATTATTTACAGAGGGAATGACTAAATGATGGATGTTGTGGCAAGGACAACAGACTTGAGCAAGGCTACAGTGTGGCAGTAGCCTTGCTCAAGTCCAACATTTTAGAGGGAGCGTCTAGCTAATTCAAGCACCTGTCAGATACAAAACGTCACAGCGATACTCCCTGTAGACAACTTCCTCGTGATAGGAAGAATCGATCGATTCAGAAAAGAATATTTAAAGCTGTTTAAAACACACGCCTCCTTCTAAATAGCATTCAAATGTAGAATTTCTTACAGTAACTGAAAGAATGTACTTACCCACAGGCTCTCCTTTCTTAGAACGAATGGTGCCAGAGCTCGGAACATGACGGCAGTTTAGTACAACTTCATACGTTGAATAGGTAAGTTCAGCATGATCCTCGACTCAACCCGGACGTGTTTATAACCTAAAAATAGCTAAGTAACTACGATTCTACGAATTAGGATATCAGCGGAATAAGGTCCTTTCCAACTAACAATGACTTCAAGCAGACACGTATATTTTCGTTTCCATTTTAATAATTGCAATTGAGTATAGCGTAAAGAGAAAGTAGGTAATTGAAAGACGGAAGGCAATGTGCCACCGAAGAAAATACCCCTGTTTAATGTTCTTACAGGTCAATATATATATAGTAACGTCTGTCCTTTGTTTGTGATCTAGTTTTAAAATCATACACACTGTCTTACGGGAGAATGCATTGAGACATTCTCTTTTATTTTGCTTTATAAGATCGATATGTAAAATAATATAAAAATCTGTGCTGCTAGGTTTGACTTTCAAACAAAAAATACTGTTTAAAGGGAGGCAACCTGCATTAGGGTGACTGTTACAAGTTAATGTGGGTCTTCCATATATGTTTCAATGAAATTTTCCGGAATTATGCATTCAGAGGAGTTAGCAGCATTTCAATGACTCACTTATATGTTTGGCTGCGATATTTTATGAACTTTCCATGTGAAATCCACTTTTTTGCTTAACAAAGGCAAATTTAACGCGTCAGTCTTACTTAAACCATTTTCATAAGTGCATCTCATCGAAAATTTCATCTATTTATCAAAATTAAGATTTATATCCTTTACATGAAATATGGAATAAAACATCAATGGTCGCTCTCGTGCTTTCAGGTTTACCGATCATTTCTATCATTGTAATGTAACAGGAGAGGGAAAATGCACGGCCAGACCGGGGTTCGAACCCGGGACCTTCCGAACTGAAGACGGACTATCTACAAATTGAGCTATCTGGTCGTCGACGATCGACCCAGTCCGGTTCCTCTATAGTAATATTTCCCTTATTCGGAGCATCTCTAGACAAATGTGCCACCACAATCGAGTGTCCAGTGGCTGAAGAAGACGACAACAATGACGCGTCAACCAAATCATCCTTACTATTGTCTTATTGGTTTATTTGGGCATATTAAAATAGTTATTGCCCCTACTGGTATTCCGTCTTTGCGTATTGCAGAGTTATCTTCTCTTGGGAGCAGGTATTGATTGTTACGTCACTTGTTTGTGAGAGTAACGTCATCAATTTTTGAGAAAACGACGTAATTTTCTCGCACAAACCAATGACGTAACAATCAATACCTGCTCCCAAGAGAAGATAACTCTGCAATACGCAAAGACGGAATAGGGAAACACGAAGCCCTAGTGATCGTAACATGATTTATCTCAAAGAAACAAAATAATCGTGTTCCCCTATCACAAGGACTGTACATGTATATTGTATTTTTAATTATCATTTCAATCACAACTTATAATAAAAGACTTGACCGTGAAATAAAGACCTCCAAAGTTAATTCATCAGAAACGTAAGATGAAACATACATGTACAAGTAAAAGTACCTGCGTATAAATTAAAAACTGTAGTTATTTTTCATCAAAATAATACGGCTTTATAAATAGAACGTCAACCTACCTACAACATTTTAGGTTCAAAATAAATGATCTGAAACTTATTTATAGTAGTGTTTATTTAGATACCAAAAAGCCTTCGACATATATGCCCCATCAGCAAAGCTTAGCCCGAGTTTCCTCTGGCCCACACCAGACATCTATCTGTCAAAATGTCCAAGTCTGGTATCAGGGCCAGAGGAAACTCGGGCTACAGTAAGATACACTCGCACAACTTTCAAATTAAACAATCAAGTACTGATATCCCTATGTTGTCAGATCGTCAACAGAAAGTAGCTTACAGCTGTAACTGGAGGGGATTTAGGTTGGACAAATATAACACTTACGGTTTACTACAGGGGTCACTGTTGGTGCCGCTTCTATTTGCAATTTTAGTTAATGAACTTCCAAACTTAGTGGGTTCAAAGATATGTATCTTTGTGCACCAAAATCTTTAGTGTAAAATTAAACATCCTTCCTTGATAACATGTTGAAAACAAGTTCACTGCTGTGCCTAAAGCTACACATGTTCATATATCTGCAGGAGCAGATCCAGATTAATTTCAGTTAAAAGTGGTGGCGGGGGCGCAACAGGCGATGATCCACGATTTTATGAAAGGGGTCCAGAGGCAAAGCCCCAGTGGGGGTAGTGTGGAGGATGTTTGGGGAAATGGGGTGCGAAGCGCCCTAGAAGCTAGATAAATACAAGTTAACAACGATATAAAATTATTCATTTTCTATATATAAATGTATATTGGACAGAGGCTTTGTTTGTTTGTTCGATGTGTAGCGTCTTAGCCACAGCCAGGGTCATATGAGGACGGAGAAATCCATGAAGTTTGAACAAATATATTTAAAGCTTTATCCGTATCATATGTGCTGGGAATACTAATAGTAAGATGATGTGTATATTCTACAGGTACTCCGGTTTCCTCCAACATAGACCCCCGCTTGCTAGCATCTGGACCAACTAGAGAAATTGCTATTCTAGATCTATATATCTGTCTCGGGGACATTTTGCAGAGAGTAAATCGCGAAAATTGAGACTTACTACAAATTAATCACGTTTTAATTGTATTAAATATCAGCAATCGGTATGCCACAAGCATTTTTTTCTTTGGTGGATTCCGTCTGCTTACGCGCCTGTTTGCTCTTATTTCTATAGGTTTTTCTTTTACAATGTATATTTACACATAATTTCAACAAATACCTTGCTGTTCAGGGCATCATTAATAAAAAAAAATGGACCGAGCTTGTCCTGTGCCGTTTTCGTTTATCGCGATCCAAACGGATGCACCGGCTGGACTTTTCAGTGAACAGAGTTGTTCGTTTATGAAATAAGGTCGGACCCAGTAATCTGATTCTGCTTTCAGGCAAGCCTTGACAAAGACTTGTAAGACTTACATAAACAGTTGCAGGTCCGCCAGGATTTTTACCCGAAATTGTCACATTAAATAAACGGACGTATCCTGCTATTGTCTTTGCGTTGTTTTCTCCCATGTTAACAGTGAAACGGTTGAAATTTAATTTGTAAAGCTTTCTAGTTTTATTATTCAGCTGTAGGTATTTCAAAATGTATTATACGATTAAATTATAATGAATAAAATGGACACTATTATGGCATTTTGTTATAACTGTTCTGATAGGAATGGAAAATCGACGGATATTATTGGTAGTATTCGTATTTCACACAGCACCGCCTTGTTCCGGTCACGCGACTTCCATCCGGGCTTCTGTTGATAGGGACATAAGCAAAGAGAGCGACCACGGCGTCGGAGAATAGGGATTTTCCCCTGAATATATTTACATCATAGGTACGTTTAGTGTATGAATTTGTCTTCTTTGATTAGCCAAAATGTATATTAGATAGCCTTTGTCATATTTTATCTTTCGATGTTAAAATTAAGAGTATTAAAAAGCGTATTATTGACGTAAATAAATGACCCTGTCTGAATAACGCAACGTTCTATAAATAGAACCGGCAATAATGTGTATTTGTTTGGACTCGAAATCAGTAAAATAGCCAATATCTTTTGGATGGCATGGGTTCTTTTTGTACGTAAACGGTTTGAGCATAAAATAATGGACACAGTTGTTTATCTTCCTTGTTAATTATGAGCTAAAAGGTACAACAATGAAATGCACCCCAAGCTCACGTGCATAAATTCCACGAGTCCGTTTTGATGAGGTCATGTTTATATGAAAGTGGGAAGGTGTTTTGTTCACCTATTTCACAATTTCGAGTAACCCTTAATTTATATAAATATCAAAGGAGTTGCATTGACGACAGGGAAATATGTTTTTTACGATTATTCCTCAGTATTTCTCCCACATGGTGTAACACCAAGCCGACTGTCCTGTAATTTTCTCTCAAGATTTGTGAAGCATTACATCATAGTCTGATTTGTCCAGACTCGAGAGGTAAGGGATAATATGTTTTTTTTCAAAGTGGATAACGCTCTGCCTATCAAAATGAACAAACTTCGAAAAGGGATAGTCACATGCCACAAGGAAAGACCTATGACATGTGATACAATTCTAAATTGAGATCCTAGCCACAGGAAGATGTAATTTGATACTTTATTCAAATCTGAACAATATTTTCATTATAATAATTTGAATGGTATGTTCAATTTATCACTAGCCCTGACACAAAATAAAGTAATCCTTAATGTTTCGATATATATTATTTACTGGAAGTGTACTGTCTGCTGTAAATGTGTGCTAAACAAACTTGGACCATAGAATATTCAGACCGTAGATGTCGCAAGACAAATGTTGCCAACGAAACTTTTTTTTTTTAATTTATTTAATTGTAAAATTAAATTTAAGCCACGAACTCTTTAAGTTGGTCATTTGCAAAACTTTATTGGTGCCATTTCCATGTGATAAAGTATACTATTAAAAACATAAAACACATCTTGTGCCCTAGGTAACTTTTTGAGCATTAAAATAATGGATGAAAATATACTTCAGGAAAATCAAAGGGCTTAAAGCATTCATTTAAGCAGGAATACAATCTAGAGAGCAACTTTATATATAACTTCATGATATATATTAATAAGCAAGTCCAACACATCTGTTTTCACTTTATGGAAAGGTTTTTATTACCAGTTTTTGCTATTCTGTCCAGAATAACTAACCTGAAATATCTGTTGTCAGTGTTTTTATTTTATTTGCTCCAGAAAACTGGAAACAAACATCAGAAATTATAAAAATTGGTCAGATGTAATGGCCACCAATAAAGAAAATCATATGCTACATTGTGAAACTTTCTCTGAATGTATTTCTTAACATTTTTTTCAGGTTGGTAAGTATGGATTGCAGAAATATCCATGTAGTGCACAGTGTCATTCTGTGACAATTTGATGACTATTATATTGTACAATATTCTGTAACCTTTATTTTGTCTGTTGAAGGTGACAGATTATGTATCACACTAGTCATTGAATTGAAACATCATGTAATCACTGGTTGTGCTACATGGACCTTTCTACAACTGCTCTGACCATAATCCTTAACATGGTTAAAGATGACCAAGAGCTTCATATGGTCAAACATCTACAACTGTCGGCATTCCCACAGTCAGTTTAGTTATTTTAATATTTTTGATTTGTGTTTTTTTCTACATAAAGTGATTCCCTCCTCTTGGGAGCCTAGAATGTCCGACTCCAAAGATGAGAAGGGGGAGGAGGAGAAGACTTATGGGGGATGTGAGGGTCCTGACGCCATGTATGTCAAACTGGTGTCATCTGACGGCCATGAATTCATTGTGAAACGGGAACATGCACTAACATCTGGTACTATCAAGGCCATGCTAAGTGGGCCAGGTAGGTGAAAATTTTAGTGTTTCAACTGAGTTATCAGCTCACTCTGTCTAAACTGTCCAACTAGACGTTTGTCTAAGCAGGCGAAAGAATTTGGTTTTGATTATGTATAACATATAGATTTTCTAAACCCTAGAATAGTGCAATCATGTCATGCGATTACGACTACTGATAATTCAGTCGTTATCATTAATTAACAGGCACTCAGACAAGGAGTCGAGTGCGGTAGTCATTTTCTGGAATACACCTGACTTTTTACCATGTCAATTACAACAAGCAAGTTACAAGTAAGTTGGTTTGCGCATATAGATTCCATGCTTGAGCATGAGAACAGTTTCATGAATACAGGCCCTGGACTCGGGCTTCCCCTACGGGGCTTGCTAACATTTTGAGAGCCCACTATATCTTTTAGAATTGTTAGAATTTAAAAGTATGTATAGTACTAGACATTTCACACTTGATGAGAAACTTCAGTGGTATAAGAGCTAAGTTTTGATCTTAATTCTGACATAGAAACTTCCTTGGGAATCCATTTCATTGATTAAAGATTTAGTAATGGTAACATTCATATATATATTCATATTTTGTTCAGACAAGGTGGAAATTTAACTTCCATTTCAAAAGTCTAGTAGTCTGAAATCTGCTGTAATAAAATAGGCTAAAGACCCTTGTCTTTAACAACATTATTTCATTGAGAGTATACGTATCGTAATAAAATTTGATGCACCCCTCTGCTCAGTTTTGTTTTTGAAGAAAATCTTGTTTAAAATCAGCAGCGACTGACTTTCTCAATCCTGCCCCACCCCAAATGATTTATCTGAATTATTGTTAAGCAGATTAAACATTTCATGTTTCAATAAACTATATATAGTCAAACATTTCATGTTTCATTTAAGGGGCTGGTCGGGGGAGAAAATGTCATATTTGCTAAAATGGCATACACATGTTTAAAATACCTTATGAAATATACCGATACAAATTTTGCTGAAATTCACTCCCTAAGAGTAAAAATTCCAATTATATTAAAGAAATCCTAAATCGTCACCTGACAGTCTAAAACTCTCAATTGACCCAGATCAGTGATGTAATTTTACTGCACGCGTGTCATCAACAAGGCCAAATGTAAACATTGTGGCAAAAGAAAAAAGATGCATGCAAAAGTCATGACAGGCACAAGGTATCAATACCGTTATATATAACAACAACATATAGATAGGAATACTATACTTTCATCATACATGACTTTTGAAAACAATTATTTACGTATAGTATTGCTGTCTTGTCCGCTACTTGAGTCCGACATGGTACATGACAGCATGCTATTGTTGTTATCTTCACTGCCTCACTTTCGAAACAACCACGTGACATATATAAATAGATCTGCGCTAAATTTATGCGGGGCTTCCCTGAGATTTCAGTGGTCAAAACTGGACATTGCAAGCAGAACTAGACCATCATATTGCCGTGGTATAACTTTTGGAAGGCCAGAGAACGTATTTAGACCCATTTATTTTGTATTTTTTCCCCAACCAGCCCCTTTAAACTATATATATAGTCAATAGTATTTTTGTCCTGCATTAGATAGAATAAACGTAAAATAGTAAATGAGTGCAAAGTGAAAAGTACTTGAAAGTTTTATTTTAATTTTTTAGAAAATAACACTAATGTGACATACACAAATTAATGATTTGAATATATTTATTGAATGTTGTCTATAGTGATATTTTTGGGGCTGAAATCTCCACTTACCCATCCTATTGGTATTATATATCTAAGGTCAAACTTGTTTTTAAACTCAGATACATTAGATTACTTTGTTCGTTTTAATTTGATTATAATGTAAACTTACACTGCATCCATGAAGTGGTCACCTGATCAGGAGCATTTAAAAGACTCACAGCATGAAAAGTACAATACAGTTCCCATCAATACAGCATGCATTTGACCTGACATCCTACTACATCTGATTTTGGCATGAAACAAAGCAAACAAAATCATATTGGCTCACTGATTGTACAAATGCAACATAGGAGTAATAGGCAGCCATTACCTGCAATGTACACAATAATACAATTACATATTTACTTGCTATCACAAGTTCAGATATTTTTGATGCCATTTAAACCTGTGGAAATTTGACAAGTCATTTATCCAATTTGTTGTAGTCAGTTTGCCAATGTGATCAATAATCAAATGAGCTTATTTTCTGTTTACTTGTACTTGCAGGTCAGTTTGCTGAGAATGAGACAAATGAAATTAATTTCAGGGAAATACCGTAAGTATTTAGCGAGTTCTTTGTCTTAAATCTCGTCATACTCTCGGGTTGACTGAATGATCACATAGTGAATCCAAGTATTTAGGTAACTTTCTAAGAAAATTGACTAGTAGATTTTTATTGTGATAATTTCTTGTTTCTCACTGGCTTCAAACATTATTCATCAGACATAAAGACAATTGTTTCTTTATTGTTGGAATAGAAATATTGTTAAAATAATTATTGACCTGTTTTGGGTTTGATTTTTGTTGTATAAATACTAATATTATCAGATTATATGTAGACAATACCACACATGTGTAAAATGCAATCTGAGATGTCAGAGGAACACATGCAGTATTGCTTTACATATCATTAATTGTTCTTTCAATGCATTTTATATTTTCTTCAAAACTTTGCTCATCACATTACCATATTTATGATTAATTTGCCTCCTGAAAGCTTGAAACAAACAACATTGATAGACAGAATTGAAACTACGTTAATGTGTCAAACTTAATTACCATAACATAAAATGGCTCTAAAATGTTTAGAGCCCATTTCTGTGTGAACTCTTGATTAAATCAATGTATAACAAACCCATGATATTCAGTCAGAAACTAAGGAGTTCTTGATAATGGGGTAAAACAACATCTTGTATTATATGATATAGTGTGAAAACTGACTAGATCGCAATAGTAAGATGTATTAGGAACCATAGCTAATGTCCAGTAAATGAATATAGTTTTTGTCTTTCTTACAGGTCACATGTACTGCAGAAGGTTTGCATGTATTTTACCTACAAAGTGAGATACACTAACAGTTCCACAGAGATCCCAGAATTTCCTATCGCACCCGAGATCGCTTTAGAGTTACTGATGGCGGCAAATTTCCTGGATTGTTAAATGACTCACGCTTTATTTGTAAATTGGAAATTAATATTTGAGGATTCTCGTATATAATGATGATTCAGTAACAGTAATCTGCACTTGGGATAACAGCTGTGCACATTATGATTGAGCAAACAAATCCAACCTGCTGTTGTGACCATCTCCAATATTTGTTTATTGTGGTTATTTCGGAATGGTAAGGATGTGTATTCAAAAGTTGTAATATCAAAAGAACTGAGAATACAAACAGAGACAAAGACAACCCCAGATCTGATGCAAGCTTGAAGAATGAACTGTATGTTGGTATTGTTTGCATGTGAGATGTATTTATCATCCTCTTTGTCTGCAAGTGACCTATAGTTTAATACACAAGATAACTGAAAAGTATAAGTACCTTTTTTTTACCCTTCTTAATTATTCTTTGTGAATGTTGTTACTATTTATTATTAAATATTGTGATATTTCATCACATTATGTATACGTGCATCAGGTGTAAACAAATAGAAGTACACATTTCAATTCCAGCAAGTCGTGTCTGTACCTACTTTTCACAATAACTATCAACGATTTCCTTACAAGAGGGAGATTCTTCATTGTTCAATTTCAGATCACGAGATCTGTTTTGGAATAACACATGCAAAAATAAGGGTAATTGTTTTTTCCCCCAGGAAGTATTGCACACTGTTTTGATTTCACTTCATTGCATTACTTATTTATGTAGAACAAAAATGTATAGCAATATAACTAAGTATGTGTATATAGCTGATGCTTTGTGATATTCAAGTGAGTAGGCAGGTCTGTGTACGTTTAGAAAGAAATATGTAAACCTCAACATTCATTAAAGTTCTATCCATTTTATTGAATTGTTTCTTTTAGTTTTGTTTTCTGCCGAGTATTGTGCTGCTCTCTAGTGAAGAGAATGTATCCTCATCCTCATCATCCTATATACATACTTAACAATGTACCTGTAACATATCAAATGTGACACCTGACCTTTCTTATACGAACCCTGTATAAAGCTATTCAATATGAAGCAACAGTGAGCAGGACTTGGTGACAAATCATATTGAAATGTGATCTTGAAGGTGTTGCTGGATATTCATACCCCTGCTTCATGAATGATATGGGAATCAAACTTTGCAGTTTCACATTCAAAAATGAGGCCACTGTGAACTCAATTTGACCATATGCCTTGACCTCCAGTGCTCCAGTAATGGCTTCTTGAGAACATCTCAGCCTGTTCATGAATTGGCATCACACTCGGTAATATATAGCTATAGGTGCATCATGAAAAAGGGCAGCGTGTCTCATCCTAAATCGAGGTCACTATGACTTCAATTGAACCTTTGACCTTGACCTCAATTATTAAATTAAGTGTACACTGGTTTTTTGATCATATCTTAGCCACTGTATGACAGTAGAGGTTTTTTAGGTCACCTGAGCTTTGCTCAAGTGACCTATTCCAATCGCTTTTCGTCCGTCGTCGTCCGTCGTGCGTAAACTTTTACATTTTCAACTTCTTCTCAAGAACCAGTGGATGGATTTTTTTCAAACTT